GGATCGTTGGCGGTGAGAGCAGTGCTCAGGGGCAGGGCCACGCGAGACATGGGCACAAAGAGCTTGAGAGTGTAGCGGTCATCGGTGGGACTGATATCGGGATGCGACTCGCAGCCCAGCAGGTTCATCTGATCAATGGGCGCTCGATGCGCCTGGAAATCTTCCAGACTCTAAATAGGAAAAAGAAAACAATAATTAGTACTAATAAAGAACAATTTCCCCCCCTTTGCGCATTTTGTGTTCCGCACATCCTTCGAAGGAGTTTTATACTGAAGTGGTAAACAGCGAAAATGTGGTGCACGATATCTTCTCCGACAGATTCTCTTATTAGAGAAAATTTCTTGCTGTAAGTTTTTTCGGGCGGTAATGTTCATAAAAAAGAAGGTTCGTGAACATGATACATCGGTATGAAGATAGAGAAGAAAGGGGTGCCAGTCTGTTCGATCACTAAGAAAGAAAACCAACTCTTCCATTATTTTGGTTTGAAGGGAAGTCTGCACTGTAATTTGAAGTTCTGTAACAGTTTAGTCCTGGAAGAAGTGCCAAAGCTTACTGGTAGATTTCTAAATAGTGTGGTTTGTTGGTTTAATTACTCTTAGGAGAGGAAATCTGAAAGGAACACTGAAACCTCAGTACTAACGACAAAAGGTAGATTTGCAGGATTCCGTATGCGCAATCTCCGCCCTCTTTTGGGCGGATATACCCCCGCTATACAAACCCATAACGAGGATAGGTACTTCAATATACACAAGCGAGATGCAGCGACGTTGACCCCTATCACTGAATGCGAAGTAGAAGCAGATTCAACATTAAGTTCTTACTAATGCCCAGTTTATCGGCAAGTTAATCAGACTGGATAAACTCACAAAACCGTCAATCACCAGGAAAAAGAAGTTGTTCTGAATGCAGGTAGAGACATAAAGCCAATCAGGCGGACCTAGTTTTACATCAAGATTCAGAGTTTGAGGAAATATCGCAGAGTTGCAATGCATTTAATTCCAGGTCACATGAATGAAAGGAGATGAAAACCACTTCGTAGCACTTCTACGCGTTATTAAAGAAAGAGTGTTGACTGCATTGGTGTTACTTAATTCAGGTTAAATTTTCACAACATAGACGACATTACTTAAGTGTGATTCCGGTTTCTGACCAGTACCTACAACGGAAGGAATTACAGTATAGTAGAATGACAATAGCACGAATCAAGCGAGAGTGGTACCGAATAACCAAAGAGAGAAGATGATGAGGGAAGTTGAGTCTCTAAGAGGTCTGCATTTTATGGTGCTGCTCTTCCATAGGTCTGACCAAATTAGTGTATAACCTTTACTTGAGAAGAAGACGACTCAATCGCTAGGACAATACGTTTATTCGCCAGACGTTTCAAAATCCGTCGCGGATTCGTCATCAGAGACACAATCACAGAGCAATAGTAGATACAGCTAGTGTGTGAGCAGGATTTTTACCGTAAAATTTAAACGTGTAGAAAAAATCGATAACTGACAGGAGTGAGCGCTGATTCCCCACGTCAGCAGTGACCATCTGGCCCTGCGATGTTGGCGTTGGATGATACGGTGGCCTGTCTGTTCCCCGAGTGGCGACTTGCTTTGGCCAAATTGGGTCTCAGCACCGAATATGGATTGGGCAAATCGTTGCACTTGTTAATGGCTTTGGGGTCCGTGAACCATGAGTCAAGCAATTCTCAGGTCACCCGATTGTCACCCTTCTCATTTACTTCCTGGGACTCGCATGTTTGCTTGTATTGGCAGTAACCTGTACTGTCTGTTTGTGCTGGGTCTAGAGCAAGTCGATCTTTTCTTCCTCTCTATGTCTCGTCACCATCTTCCACTTAACAGCAGCCTTTGCAGTTATAGGCTAATTCAAGGAATTGGCCTGTCTGTTTGATATGCACTGAACGAGTCCTCACATATTGAATAAACCGCGAGCAATCTGTTGAAATAATCTTTTTTTATTAGAAAGACCATTTAAACCCTACTGAGGGAGACGTTATTTTCAAGTAATTGCACACTGACAGTCGCTGGAGGGATTTCAACAGCTCGCTCCCGAAAATATGAGAAAGAAGATGATAAAACGCAGCGACACATTCAATTAAAACTGCAGTTCCTCTGAGGTCCACTGTTCAACACATGGATTTAGTCACAATCAAATATTGCTAAAGCTAGTAACCTAGTTAAATGGCTTCCAGATCGCTTGATTTTATTTCACATTTCCGATTGCTAGTTGACTAGTCGGCTCCTAGTTAACTGGTCCGCCAATGGAAAACGTAATTCAGTTGTTGAGAGCAGCCCTCAGACAAGCATAGAATACGTTAGAAAATCAGATACAGGCCAACCAATATTGCAATCGTTCTATATTCATTC